AAAAAAATCTCTACTACAGCCTTATGGGACAAATATCAAACTCTGTTATCCTTAATGCTAATCCCCATTGATGTGCCAGCTGCCCTCTCACCACTTGTCTTAACCATTTTTCTTGGCTCTGCAAACTTCTCTTACAAGCTATCTCTGAAGGAGATAAGGTAGCAAAGAGTTAGGCCTCCAAACAAATCAGTGCTGCACAGTGAACAGTTGGTACTTGCCAGAGTCGCAGTGCCATTTGCTGCTAATGCATCTTCCACTTTGGCATATAAAGTGAGTTAGCGGGTCACAAGTAGGGAATTCTGTGAAAGACAGAAAAACATTCAATAGGAAATATGTTATTGACTTTGTTTAACTTAATTTGTATCTCATTTTCTACTGTGATTAGAATTCTTCCACTGTCTCTCACAAAACATAGAGGCAGCATAGAGAAACAAATATAATGACTGTAACTTCTTGAGAACAGAGAATACACGTAAGTTTAACATCTTTTAATTGAGTACTTTCCAGTGAATGAAAGCTATGGAGGGTTATTTGACGATGAACAGTTTGGATCAATTAAACTGTGAGAAAAAGGTAGAGATGTCAACTCCTTGTAGAACTCTACCTCCACAAAGGGAATAACAGCTGGATGTAACTCTACACTCTGGTTCTGAAAAGTAACATGCATATATTTTAAAGGAGAAAGGCCTTTTCTGAATACAGAGAGCCAAAGTAGGAGAGACAGATTTACTTTTGCATCAGAGAGATGTGAATATCAAAAGTAAGAAGCAAAACACAACTCAAGAAAATCAGTTTAGTTGGTATCATACAGTTACAATGATTTTTAAAGTATAGGGTTTGGAAGTATCTTACAGTTATAAAGGATTTATCAGTCTGGGGGAAACAAAATCAAAAGAACTTTCCAACCCCTTAGACAACAATGATTAAAAAAAGAAATAATTAGCCAATCTGATGGGTTCATAAATTTAAAAGCTAAAAGTTGTCGTATGAAGATCAGATAATCAAGATTGCAACTATAATAATTTAAAAAGTAGTAGTAATCATTCGAGAAATGTGTAATTGCCAAGCAGTTCATCAAAGCAATTTAGGGCAGCTTATTATTATTTC